GTGTATATATATATATATATATATATATATATATATATATATATATATACAATTTCAAGAAGGATACAAACTCGATTATATTTATTAATATGCATATTCTTATTAGTTTGCTAGAACAACTTCATATTTATAGCAGAAAATGAAGATAATATAAAGTGATAGAATGATAATTTGTAAAATTTGTATCTGCTACGATTCATTCAAAAACGAGAAATTCATTCGTTGAAAAGTCTATTAAAGTTGGAATATAGAATATTCGAAGTCAACTTATATAGGGTGACATGTACTCTAAGAATTGCAGACTTACCGTGCGATTAATAAATAATTGACGATAACTTTGGCTTCGCGAAAATCAGTTAGCCCATTAGCCCGAGGTGCGTGAATAATTGATCGAGAGATCGTATCGTGAGCCGAAAACAGTATTCGCCATTTTTACAAGATCCGCGAAACGTGACGTCGATATCGCTATTTTCGGATCGGCTGCGTATAAACCTACGATTTACATATATGTTGCTCAACGACACGGGCGATTAGAGCGAAAAATATTGCGCGGGGTTTTACGCGCGCGTTTATACCGCGTGATTTGCACGACCGGCGCAAAATCGACTCGTGTAAAAATTGTAATCTATACGTGTAATTTTGTAGCGTGTTGCAGCGTCTTCATATACGCGGTGCTATAGTCGCTATAAATATCATTATGAACATAGAGAAACAAGCGTAAATAACGCTTCGCGTTTCCTGGTATTCTTCCGCATAACGCATAAGAATGTACGAGTACTCGTAAAGTACAAGCCGAGTCGAAACCGGGTTTTCAATTGAAAAATTATTAATATCTCTCCGCATGAATGTTACTAGTTTTAGTCCAGTTTCTGGCATCTACATCTATCGAGAAAAATGCGTAGTCCGCTCAACAGAAATATCACATGTTTATAGACGAAGATGCTAAGTATTTGTGAAAAGTAGTATACAATCTTGGCAATATCTTTTTCATGATTATGTAAATGAACAAAAAAAAAAAAAAGATATTCGAGGAAATTTCCAAGCATCGTGTAAGTGTCGAAAATAAGAATGGAAATTCATGAATTTTTTTCGGACGTTATATTGTTAAGCGTTATTATTTCAGCACGCAAAATATCCCTTTGCGTGCGAGGATGCTCTCTCACGTACGTCCTAAATAATCTTCTGCTGATTTTCGACGTTGAATGCGCAGAGGCGAAAGGCCGCCGAAAGAAGAGCACGTTTTAACGCGACGAGGTAGACGCGTCCTGTGAAAAGCATTCCAGCCACCACCTGCGTCGAACGCCATAATTATGTTTCTTGTGCGCCTGCTTCTGGTACCGAGCGTTTGGATATTTTGCCTGTCGGAGGACGGTCTTTTTGGTGCGTAAACGCCTTCTGTTAGACTGCAGGGCGCCGTTAAATGCCGGCCCTTCGTTTTCACACGCCTTTCATCTCTCGGGCGAGTATATCGTACCAACGCTTTTGTAATAGGCACTTTATAGCTTACACTTTCACAGAAACGCGCTATTTAGCGCTTATATAAATTTAGATGTACGTTTGACTCGATCAGTCAACGTGGAAAATCGAAGCACTATTCTTTTTCGAGTAAGATTTCGCATTAAGAAATGATTCGACGTGACATTGTCACTTTCGTAAATCAAGATTCTATTAAAATAAAATTTGTATCAATAAACTGAACTAATAAATGTTCCGTATTATTTTTTTATCATTTCTTTTATCATTGCTTATAAGAGTAAATAAAAAGATTTTGATATATAACGAGTTAGGAAAGCTCGTGTTAATAATTTAAAATGACCGTCATAAAATAAAATTATCCGATTACACAAAATAATGCAAACAAGCAGATACATAATAATACAAAATAATTAACGGTCTGATTCTAGCGTAGGTCTGATCTTTCTTCGCGAAGCGAAGCAAAAGTACTACTTTAAAAAATACACGAACCGTCGTGAAGGTGCTGAAGACATAGTTATCGCTCCGATTCTAGGCTCGCCCCTTAATAAAAAAGAGAGCTGCTCCGAAACTGCGTGAATCACAGGGAGAAAAAAACCACACAACGTGTACTTTGGATCGACCTGATTCACGCTCGCCGCGGAGAGAGATCCGCGGCTCTGACTTAATTCTCCAGGACCTATATTTATCATATCCAATACCAGATTTCGAGCTGTCAAGTCGGACGAGCCAACGAGGCCTTTCCACGTTGCGGTCCAACAGGAGGAGTTTGCGTGACGGCAACAGACGTTGCCCTCCTCTCCCCGTTCCTTCTTGTCGACTTTCATCTTCCTTCCACCTTGGCTCTCTCCCGCTGATCTTCGTCTGCTTTTCTCTCTCTTTCTCTCTCTCTCTCTCTCTCTCTTTCTCTCTTTTTTTCTTCGATGGAGCGCCGACCAATGGAGCGGCAGAAAACTCGCTCTATAAGCCTTGCACGCAGGCGGACCGGGTCCTCTCTCGACGAAATCGACGGAAGAGGAACCCTCTCGCCTGCGGGGATCGTCGTGAAATAATCCGCGGACAAATTCCTCGAAGACCCTCCTCGCGCAGCGGAGAGGCAGAGAAGATTCTTTACGATCCGCTCGCGGCAACCGACTCCCTGAATGAACACGTCCCATTGACGAGCAACGTTCGATTGCTTCATCGATACCACTTGCGTCTGCCTTAATTAACAATACGAGATGTCCCCATAACGTATTCCTTGAACAGAATGAACGATTGGATAATCGAGAACTGAAGTAATACTTTTCAAGGTACGTTGCAACTTAATAATTCAACTTTATAAGCGATTGCAAAAGAGGAAGAGTTTTGATTTTAAGTTTTAGAAATGTAAATAGAGCCCTCCCGATTATTTTAAAAACTTTAAAATAAGCTTAAATTAAAATCAATATATCACACAGTATTTTGTATGCTGGAAATCTTAATTATAGGAGAAAAGAGACAATGCCTAATTATGTTTTTTCAGAGGACGTTATTTTTGCCCATCGAATGTTTCCTGACGTTCGGGATATACATATTTCTAATTGAATATGTATCTGCTGATTCATTATTCACTCTGTTATTTGCATTAATTATTCAGTAGTTGTCATAACATATTTGCATCTTTATGATATTATACATTACAATGTTGTGCGATGATGTATCCTTACTGCGGTAACGAGATTCTGTGCTTTAGCACCTTATATCTTACAACTTTTATTAGGGATTATAATTTAGAAAGACAGGACGAAATTGTTAACTAGAGTTGGTTAATCAAGGCATTACACAAATTAATCAATGGAGACGACATTCAGTGGTAGGTTGCGATGTAAATGGAAATCACATTACATCGAACAATATTATGCTTGAGTATATAGAGACGGCGGAAAGGGCAAAGACAAATTAATGTACACGCTATGCACTATACAATAGCATAGACAAGCTAACATGGACGTGCACTGCGTACTAGCAAAGATAGTAAAGAAAATTAACATTATATTAATACCTCATAGATGTGACTTTAAAATATGTGAAGATTTTCAATCGTGAAAAACAAATTATATAAAACACTGGATAAGAAATGAGATATTTAAAAATAAAAGATATTTAAAATAGAGAAGAAATAAGATATTAATAAATAAAGAAATAAGATATTTAAAGATAAAAGAACGAAAATAAAAGAAAATAGCTTTTTCATTATGTCCATACATATTTCTTCCTTTTAAATGCAGCCTATTCGAAGAAGTCCGTATTTAGTTAAATAAATCGTTAAATAAATAAATAAATAAATAAAACATTCTCTTAATAAATAAACATTCTTGCTGCAATGGTCTTTTCTAGGACTGTTTCTCAGTGTGAAAGGCTTGTTACAAATTTTATGTAAATTTTATGTAAATATCATAAATTGTCCGAATGTTTTGTAACGTCGCGATTCATTACGTCATCACGTCACAGCCGTGACGTCTTCGTTCTCAATTAGAACAATCCAAGAGCAAGGAAAGCCCAAACGCAAACGAACCAACAGGTTAACGTTTGAAGCCGCCGAAATGCGAATGGAATAAAGGAAACGAGAAAAATCACGCGGCTATCCCGTCCTATCCCTCGAGGGAAGAAGCACCCTCGGGTCCAGTCCATCGTTTCTGGTCCATGATAACAGCATCCCTACGCGCTGGATCTACGATCCATGGACCAGTCTTGCGTTGGAGGTAGGGGCCAACGTCTCGTCCGATTGGCCCGCGCGATCTCTCGCAAGCGTGCGAGTGAGAGTGACGCGTCGTTGGTCGGACAGAGATGGAAGAAGGGGGATCAAGGGGGGTAGCACGCATCGGGGGCTGCGGGGTGCGGAGGGCCCGAGACCGGAGAGGGACTCGCGGCAGTTCGGATGCGCATCGTGCGAGGACGGCGCTTCAGTTAGCGGCGAGCCGCTGTTGGGGTAGGGTTGTTTTATCGTCGGTTTCGGCAAGTCGGTTTTCGATCTGCAACCTTCGTTTCCTTCCTTCACTTTTCGTGCCACGGAATCGTTCGTCGATTCGTCTCGCCGATCGGAACGAGACGCGTTCTCGAAGCGAGAGTGAAATTCGTGACTTTGTTTGAGTGAGAGAGAGGGGGGGAAAAAGAAAAGAAAACTTTTGAAATAGTGAGTCAGACGGCACCACGGACAGCAATCCAGTTTTGGTGTGGAAGAGTGCGAGGGTGTATCTTTTTCGCGAAACGTTTAAACGTATATAATTATAAAGTCATCGTAGCTGCAAGTTTCTTGGCCAGTGCCAATATCATGTGAGCGGGTGTGAATTGACAGAGACGTATTCAGAGAGACGGAACGACGGAAGTTTTAACTGTGCTCCGATTTCAACATGACGCGGAGTGGGGCCTAGGACCGATCGCGAACCCTTAATCCCCCTTTCGGCAGAGGGGAAAGTAAAGGTAGGAGGAACGAGAAGAGGTGAAAAAGGAATCTCCTGGTCGTCAGCATCGCATCGGAACAATTAACGCGACATCGTAGCGCATCTCCGAGGGGAAAAAGGCGACAGGACGAGGAACGCGGAGCGGCGTTCGCCAGCAGCAGCGCAGCATGACGGAGAAACGGAGCTCGCGCCGAATTTTTCGGCCCTGGGTCGTCCTGACGACGATCCTGACCGGTCAACTGCTGCTCCTGCAGCAGGCCCGCGGCGAGATCTACGCTAAGATGTTCTCCAGCCAGCAGAACCCGAGCGACCCGTGCTACGACGAGGACCGGCCGCGCCGCTGCATCCCCGACTTTGTGAACGCGGCCTTCGGCGCGACCGTGGAGGCGTCGTCCACGTGCGGCACCGGCGGACCTACCCGCTACTGCGACGTCACCGACGAGCCCGGCGGCACCACCGGCATCGGCCACTGTCACGTGTGCGACGACAGCACACCCCGACGACGCTTCCCCGCTAGCTATCTGACCGACCTCAACAACCCGAACAACGTCACCTGCTGGCGCAGCGAGCCGCTCGTCAGCTCGCAGAGCTTCTCGGCGCCGCCCGACAATGTCACCCTGACCCTCTCGCTTGGCAAGAAGTACGAGCTGACGTACGTCAGTTTGCAGTTTTGCCCGCGCGCCGCCAAGCCGGATTCCATCGCGATCTACAAGTCCATGGATTACGGCAAGACCTGGCAACCGTTTCAGTTCTACTCGTCCCAATGTCGTCGGGTTTACGGCAGGCCGAATCGCGCGACCATCACCAAGTCGAACGAGCAGGAGGCTCGGTGCACCGATAGTCATCGTTACACCGGCGGGGACGGTCTCGGTCCGGTCGGTAGGATCGCCTTCAGTACCCTGGAGGGTCGACCGTCAGCCGCGGACTTTGACAACTCGCCGGTGCTGCAGGATTGGGTGACCGCCACCGACATTCGGGTGGTGTTCAATCGGCTGCACATGCAGCAGCCGTCGAATCCGGACCAGGTGTCGTCGCTCAACGGCGAGGAGCATCACGTGGCGGCGATCGGGCTGGAAGAGCTGACCAAGCGGGAACGGGAGCGCGAGGAGCGGCTCAAGAGCATGAAGAACACGATCCTGCACGTGCAGGATCCGCTGGTGACGGCGTTACCGTCGGTCCATCAGGTGATCGCGCCCCAGGAGATGCAGTCGAACGACGCGATCGATCCCGCGGTCCGGGACATGGGCTTCGTGCCGGTCACCGTTTCCTCGACCACGACCACGCTCGCCAGCGTGGCGATGAACGGCTTGGGCCCGGCGACCGCCACCATG